GGCGTGTGGGTAGAAGGCAGGGGGATTGGAACTAGATGATCTTTGAGATCCCTTCCAACCCGAACCATTCTATGATTCTATGATTCTATTGATGAAGCTCCCTTTAGAAATGGCTGCCTTTTATCCATTGGCCATGGAGACTGCAGGTGGGGTTAATATCAGTGGAGAACTCAAACTCAGACCAAAAGCTCATAAGAGAATATATCTGACCTGGTTCCAGGATCAGCAACCAAGACATCATCTTTCAGGAGAGCTAGAGCGTCTTGTGTATTGCCCTTCCACAGCAGGCTGGTAGATCGCAGCCTCCTGGGCAGACCTGTGTCATGGAAAAGAGAAGTTAACAATTTGAGACAAATCATGATCCAGGAACCTTTGAGTCTGGTGAAGAGTGAGCAAGATTCAATGGCAAGATGGAAACAACAAAGGTGCACACGTGATTTATACACATAGCAAATGTACTGCAAGGACCTGTTCATACTGGACTGCAGGACACAGTATTCAAGTCACAAACCACTAAGTCTTGACGTCCTGGTTTCATCTGGGACGGAGTTAGTTCTTCTTTTTAACAGCTAGAAGAGCTCTGTGTTTTGATTTTAGTCTGGGACTCGTTATGAGACGAATGCTGACAGCGCACTGATGTTTGTGGTTGGCACTGAGGTCTCAAGGGCTTTCCAGCTGCCGTGTTCTTGCCCGTGTGCAGGAGCACAACAGGCTAGGGGGGAGCATGGCTGGGTCAGAGGGTGGGTCCACAGCTCCCCTTATGATTTGAATTTAGACTTAGGATTGAGGGCCAAACTGGACAATAAAGTATTCCATATCATGCAGTGTCATGTCCAGTATAAAGATGAGGGTTAAATGGAAAGAAGGGCTTTTACTCTTCCGAGGCTCTCACTCTGGGCCTCTCGGAGTGCGCTCTCCCTCTCTCTCTCTCTCTCTCTCTTTGGGCCTCTTGCTTATCCGGGATTGACGTGTTGGGACTTATCTCTTTCAGGATCTTTAGTCTGGGGTGGGACTGGCCTTGGTCAAGGGGTGGTAAGCAATTACAATGTGCATCACTTGTTTGTATATATTATTATAATTATACATATGTATATATTCATACAGTAGTAGTAGTAAATTGTTCTTATCTCAACCCACGGGTCTCTTTCC